CCCATTCCTGTTATATTCCTACATTTTCTCTCTGTTCTAATCTACAGCTTTTACCCTGTTAAGTTTTTATTTCCATTCTCTCCTTTCTTTGCCCTAGCCCAAAGTCCTTCCTCCTGTTCCAGACATGACTGTCTTTGATGTATGACTGTGCTCAGCTCATGGTTCCGAGCATTGCTAATACTACTGAGTACAGACTAAATGAATGATTATTCTTTTACAGGTCAGTGGAATAAGCACATTAGGAGAAAATATAGCAGATAATGGAGGAGTCCGACAGGCTTATAAGGTAACCTCCAAATATACTGTGGGGTAACTTTACCCCTGGGATTCAGCAATGGCATTATTCTGTCAATAAAACTCTGACAATTAATGTTATTACCATACTCAAAACCTTAAAGCCTCAGTTATGGATCTAGCAGCTTACATCCCAGTCACAGTGTAGGATGGCTGCATTCTTGCACCCAGGAGAAGACCACCTCATTCTCCTGGCTGTACTTTGAGGTACCACAGTGCTTGATGCTGCACATTTCTGTCTCAGCTAATCAAGGGTAACACCAACAGGCACAGGATTAGCTTGGGAGAAGGTAAAACACCCTCCACTTTTTAAAGCCCTTGATTCTGAAAATGACAGCTACACCTTCAAAGAGCTTCTTACATGGCAACAGAGCACTGATCTCTTGGCAACACAGCCTGGTGATATTGGGAAGCAGAGCAACTGTTTTCCCCATATCTGTTTCTCCCAAATAAACTTGCAAAGCTGTGCAAACGTGGCAGGGTGCTGTGGGATGACAGGAGCTGCCTGCACAGAATCCTCCAATGTAAATGTTCTCAGCTCTACCTTTGCTGTTTGTGTGCTTTGGGCCTGTCAGCAGCGAAGAGGATCAGGTACGAGAACGTTTGAAATCAGCCAGCGTGAGGACACATTAACTTGTCTCCATTATGTCAATAGACCTAAAAAAAGAAAATTGGCCAATTAATGTGTAACAATACCGGTAATGGATTTAACATTGAGCAAGGTTATTATCTGCTATTTTATGAGCAGCTACCTGAAGAGAGAAAAATCATCACCATAGAGCTTAACACTTTATTTCCAGACACAAATTCCTATAGAATCAGTCAGTGGAAGGTGATGATTCTACTTCAAGCTGCAGTCGTGGGTGTTCAGGCTCCTCAGCATGAATGATTGTGCCTGTATCACCAGTGGCATGCCTCTCCCTAAAGCAGCAAGTGCCGCCTTCCTGAGGAAATGCAGGGTACATCTCCAGGTGACTCTGTAAAGAACACACAGAGCTCCTCATGGTGAAGGTCACCTGGCCAACTGCTACTCTAAAACAACACTTCCATGCAAGAGTCTGCTATTTTTCCCATTTCATAACAGCTCAGTTCAGAGATTACTGTACTTGAGAAGCTGAATGTGAGTTCTCTCTGTGTTACATGGGTTTTGCCAGAACAGTCAACAGAGTACTCCCATGATAGCTTTGTCATAAAATTAGCTGCACTATTTGTATTAGAAAGATAAAAACTATGAAAATACAGAAGGGATGACGTGTTGGGTTTATATACATTGTGACTGAAATCTCTCACCCCCAAATAACATTCAGAATACCCCCCATGCCTGAATAGGCCACTCTGCCATCTGAATTGCATCTGTGATCATTTCTAGGCCTACTTAAAATGGCTGGAACGGGAAGGAAAGGAGCCAAAGTTGCCAGGACTGAATCTGTCCCACAAACAGCTCTTCTTCCTCAACTTTGCCCAGGTAAGAACACTTGGGTACAGCCACTACATGCCTCATGAAAGTATAAATTATGTTATCTTAGAGGTTAGAGAGAAGATCAGCCCCGAGCTCCACTTGGACAATGACTCATTTTTGCACTCATCAAAAGGTCCTCAAGAGAGACATGAAAAAGATGGCTTGGATGAGAAACTCTTAGAGTAACAAATGTGATACAGTAGGTTAAATATTTGATAGTGGGCCAACACACTTGGTGGTGTGCTTCAGACTCTGAACCTCCAGCTCATCTGGGGAAACACGAGTGAAATCAAGGGCTAATATATCTACCCCAAAGCATCAGATCTTAATCCAAGAACTTGATAAAACAAAAAGTAATTAGTTAATAATTATTCTGCTTCCTCAGTACAACATATTCCAACTATACTGTAAGAAATCGGGATGGCTTTTAAGAAAAACCTGGAAAACCAGTAAGCAGGTCCCCAAACTGAATTCTCTTTAATACTGACCCACTAATGATTCATCCTCCTTGTCTAGGTTTGGTGTGGTTCCTACAGACCAGAATATGCTAGCCAGTCCATAAAGACAGATGTTCACAGCCCTCTGAAATACAGGTGCGTTTTACTAACTGATTTCCTAACTGATAACTGACTTGGTTCAACCCATTGTGCCAGTATGGCGCAGGAGGAGAGAGAGGCTCACTGCTATGAGCTATATTCTAACAAATCAATCTGGACTAACTTTAAGAGCTTCTCCCATGGCTTGTAGGACAGTGCTGGAGAGCACATTCCTTTGCTTGGCCTGGTGAAGTTGCCAGTCTGTAGAGAATGGACCAGAATGCTCTGTTCCAGCATTTCTTTATTCCTATCAGCTATATTTTTTTTGCATAAATTATCCTGTCTTCTGAGACTGGGATTCCAATATGGTTTTCTGTTTTCAAAGCAACAATCTCCATGCCCTGTATCCATGTAAATAAGTTCCTTCTCTTTGTGTAGGGTGATGGGGTCTTTGCAGAACTTTGAAGCGTTCTCAGAGGTGTTCCACTGTAAGAAAGGCACAGCCATGCATCCTGCAGAGAAATGCAGAGTCTGGTAACCAAAACCACTGGTGAGAACGACACGTACTCTGTGACACAAACAAGCGATGTGCCTGATGTTCTCCCCTTCAGTCACAGCCAAGGCTCATGGTGCAGCTACTGTAGTGAGAATCCAGGAAACTACAGCCCTCCAGCTCTTACAGTCCTACTGGGAAGCACAGGTATCCCAGTGACTGATGGGCTGTGCTGGAAGCCACGGCATGCTCCAGAACAGGAATGACTGTTTCAGTGACATCCTGACTGTTATTAAGATACTGCATCAGGGTTACAAAGACTACTTCTTAGATAAAAGCAAAACCAACAACAAACTGTACATCTATTTTTCAGAAAGGAACAATAATTTTAGTCTCTCTTACAACCACTCCTTCTGAGACGCAGCAAACCAGTCTGAAATGCTTCGCTGAACTGTTTCCCAGTGTTCTGAGTCAGTTTCTGGTGCATTCTTTCCACATCCAGGTTAGAGCTAGCTTAAACTCCCGTGCTGTCTGTATACTTGATCCCTGCTTTGCTCTAAGAGATTGCTATTTGTCTTACTGTGTACAAAGTGAGCTCTATGTTAAGATGCCTGTCGGCTGCTATCGTAATGCAAAGCTGCACTCTTCTGCTGCACTCAAGTTCCTCTGCTCCAAAGAACAACTGAGACAGGACCTTAAAGTGAGGTAAAGAGATCACATTTTTAGGAGTACAAATTCTGGTGTCATGGTTAAAAGAACAGGGTCCCTCCCTTCAGAGATGTATTTAAAATGATGCTTCTTCTTGTAGAAAGTGTATAAAATACTCTGCCAAACAGCAAACATGTATCCATGGAAACAATGAAGCTGATTTTAATCCTGTGCCTTTTCATTTTGCCATAGGCTATTTTTCAGTATTTACACTTGAAAATGTAACAAGTATGGGTTTTTAATAAAAGAAATAAAACCACAGTGGCCAGTGCAGCAGTTTACTCTAGAGCGAGGGTTTGGGGGTGGCTCTCCTCAGTAAGCATGCTAATACAGTGACAGTATTTTAAACTGCCAACACTTCATGCTCAATTTTAAATACTTTTCCAGCAAACGCTCTTCTTTCCAGCACAGAAATCATTGGAAAGCAAGAATGGAACCTAGCACATTGTCCAGAGAAGCCATGGCAATGACAGGGCACGGCTTTACAAACATCATATAACCATATGTCTCAGTCAGAGACTGGCCAACAGTCCTACTACATCAGAACACCTTCATCAGTAACTAAGATAGCAGATAAATACATGGAACCAGATGGCACTTAGCAAATGCTGCAGAAAATACTTCAGCCTAGTGGAAAATTCTCTACCCAGAACTGTTTTGCTGCAGATCTCGTTCCATTTTAGACTTGTACACAATTGTCAGAGAAACTTTATCACATACTTGGGAAAAGAAGAAAGATTCATCCGTTTCCCAGCATGAGGGAAAAATAAGTCTTTCCTTCTCCCATGCTGCCACCTGGTGGCAAATGGAGCTACAACGTCTAACTCAGACCAAAAGACGTGTAAAGATCACAGCTGACTCAGGCACACCTCCCGCAGGCTCTGATTTGGTGCTCGAGGAGCCCTAATTCAGGTAGGTGCAACAGCAGCAAAACGCCCTACCCAGGTTTGTGTGTCCCCACCAGGGTAGCACTCACCCCTCCACCTCTGCAGGAGCTCTACCACTGCTGCTCCGTGCTTCTCAGGGAGAGCTGCAGCTTTGTGGGACACTTTATTCACATCTCAGCACTCTCAAGAGAAGAAATTGTGGGAAGGCATTAAAGGATACAAAGCACTGCAGTGATTGAGGCTGCTTCCTCTCAGTCTGAGGTGCAAAAAGGTGTCAAAGGAGGACTCAGATTCCAGCCACTACCTGCAGGGAAACCAGATGGCTGGTTCGAGGCCTCACTGCTTGGGTGAGAAGGTTTTGTGTGGATAGGAGAGGCAGTGACTAAGGAAATGCTCAGTATGATTCAGCTGAGAGAATCCGTGTGACAGTAGCACTTGCTTTACTCTTGGGGTACGCATGTGATGGGAGACATGAGAATATATAGATGAGAATACAAACTCCTTCTGCTGTACAAAAAGACCAAGCTCTTTAGAAGACTGACATGTCAGACTGTTTCAGGGGTGCAGGTGGCTGCATATCCCTCAGAGACAGAGAACCCAGACAGCAGTTGCACACAAATGCATTTTATTGCTCTCTACAAACACAGAGATGCATACACAGTATGCAGGTAGCCCTAGGGCTGTCCCACTTGTGGGAGAAACACTATCCACCATGAATTAACCACTCAATACAGACAAAAATCATTATTATAATGAAAATGCTAGAAAAAGCATAGCTTACACACAAAATGTATAACATTGACAAATCAAGCCTTTTACCCACTACCTTTTCTTTAACGTAAAGCAGTAACATCCTCTTTTTCTAAATTGAAAAAAGCAGCAAAGTAGTAGAAATATTCCACATAGTTTCCTAGTTTCTGTCCTTTATATACTAGGATTATGAAAGGGCCATGGGGAAAAATCCAAAACCAAACCAAACCAAACCCATCTCTGATTCTGTACAGGTTATAAGCAGAGGGAAACTGATTTTAATCAAGTGTGCATGAACAAAAGGGCAGTAAATTTATCCTCCGGGGTGACTGAGCAAACAATCGTTGCTAGTCAAGCCAGAGCAGAGCTGATGCCTCTTACAAGCAATATGAGAGTAATCTCTCCTACAGCAATTCGTGTCCATCACAGCTGTAACACTTACAAAACACCCCCCTTCATTTTGAAGGCATTCACCCCTGGCTGGCAGCACGCTGTGTACTGTTACCAGCAGTGTCTACACAGCTCCAGGACCATGCAACAGAAAGCCTGAACTTTTGCCAAAGGATCCCAAAGTCAAAAGTGTGCTATTCTGTGTACTGATAAATAAAATACACGGGGAAATAATATTCCCTACAGAAGAGAGGATTGGAGCTGGACTATCAGATGCAGTCAGATCCTTCCTCTGGACTGTAAAAGGCAAAGGTCCACGAAATAAGTGCTCCTGGACTACCAGGGCCTCCAGAGGGTGCTGGCATCTTTCGGAGATGCTGGCTTCAGGAAGCTGGGGTTCCCGGGGGAAAAGGGGACCTCCGTGGCAGCTGACTGGCTCTTCTGGAAGTGGCTTAAAAGTTTGGTCTGTGTTTCAGTTCGGACTTTGTGAAGAGAGAGGAAATGGAAGGCTTCTTGCAAACATCTGGAATAGCCCTCTCTGAAGTCAAACTGAGAGCTCTTATGGAAGGGTCCTGCAGCTAGAGAAGGGAAGAAAAGAGGAGGGGAAGAAAGAATAGATTAGAGCAGTTGTTCATGGCTGGAGGTTCATAAAACTGTCACAGGTCTGCAGTAAGCTGGAGACTGAAACAAAATTCAATACTCACCCTTCACCTGCAGCTGGCTCTGCTGCTTCAGGTAGCTGACAGCCATCTCCAGGATGTCAGCTTTCTCCAGCTTGGAGTTGGGCTGGTGTCTCTGGAACTCCTTCTCCAGCAGCAGTTTCAGCTGCTCAATGCTGCTGTTAATCCGGTCACGACGCATTTTCTCCACAACTGGCTTCCTCAGCTGTAAAAAGCAAAGGAAAAGAGACCTATTATTAGAAGGATCCTCTCCCTGCCTTTCACAGCATCTTTGCTGCCCATCACTGCTCCTAAACAATGTGGACCAGTTTCTCAGGTGGTTTAAACCACTCTGAGAACGGCTGAGAGCGCGGCTAAAGCCTTGCTGTGCCAGGACTTACTTTGTTTTTCTCCTTTGGTGTCAGCAGGTTGTCGGGCTCCATGAAAACAGTGCTGGGAGCCATCTGTCCTGGGAAAGCAGGGACGGTCTCGAAGTGGAAGTCCAGGAGAAGTGTGTGGCTGGAGGCTGGCTCTGCCTGGTATTTATACCGTACAACCTCTCCAAGAGTCTGTGGGTCTCTGGCTTGGTGGTGTTTCCCACACTCCACAGCCAATCCGGGAGGCGGGCAGCACAATAGGAGAAGCATCTATTCTTGCATGCTCCATTGCCACTGAATAGCCTGGGGATAATGACCTTCTCCCAGATGAGCAGGTGGGGAGTGTGTGGTACGTGAAAGGCTGGGATCAGAATTATGTGTCAGAAGCTGGGAAAGAGCTGGCCTTCAATGGGAAAAGGCTGCTGACTAATGCCGCGGATCAATAGCATTCCCGGTGCAGCCTGGGGCTCACACGGTGCAGGAAGGAGCAGGTCAGCTGCCGGTGGCGGGAAGGGATGCTCACAGGACAGGCACACGCTGGGGCAGGCACCCAGGCACATGCACACACCAGCACGTTCTGCCTGCCCGGGGAAAGAGCAGGATCCCTGGAATCCCACCCTCCCAGAGCCAGCCGTTCTCCCCCAGGGACCGTGACACCAGTCCATGTGAAACAGAAAACGGCTCACTATTTCAATTTAGGCCATGCACAAAAGAAAACTGAGTGCAAAAGGAATCTGTATGGCCCATAAACTTGTTAGAAATCCAATTCCTGATTCCTCATTACTCTCCACTGGGTCAATTTCTATACTGAGATGCACAATCCTTGTTCAGTAGGTTCCTGCAACAAGAAGAGTTAATGCTCTTGCTATTTGTATCCTATAAACACACAGTGGAGATGTATGATGGAAAACGTGAACCAGATCTGCCTTCTGCCCATGCAAGTGCTGCCTTCTTTTGTGAGCTCTAAAAGGACATGGCAGCAGTGTTTTCTGCATCCTCTGGACACGCACCCTGGACTGTGTGGAGCAAGGCTGGCAGTGATGTTGCCCTATTACACCACAAGCAGGGTGCAGTGAGCAGGCAGCAGCACTAACCCCATGTCTAGAACCACACATTCTGGTCCCAGATTTACTCCAAATGGGCTACGTGACCTAATCAGTATTACAGGAGTAATAATAATAATAGTAATAATGGTAGTACTAAATCAGTGTCAAGTAATGTTAGGGCTTGTGTTTGGGGATCTCTTAGTGTAGTAAGTAATTACTATTTGTATTTACATTAATATATGTGCATTTATGTATATAGTAACATGTGCATGTGGTCACATGTCTTTTAATGTGAATACATATACCCACGGACACGTTTCTCTCTCCCTCTGCAACTCATTATCCGTAAGACCAGGTAAGGTTTAAATGACCTCTTCCAGGATCTGCTTTTCCATCCCTATTGTACTGCTCTTGAATAGGCTCCTTCTTTTCTTACAGAGCAGCAGCTGTTGAGCTCGGAGTCTTTTATGTCAAGTTGTGGGAAAGCTTTTGTGACACCATTTCACATGTTCTCCTCAAAGCTTGTGCATTATCTTTGAGCCCATGTAATGCCACCTCTGAAACCAGTCTTTCACTCTGTGTATCCCTCTTGAGGAGATTCTCTGAAACAGAAACTCCTGAGTAGTACCTCATTTCTTGAGCTCGTTAACCAAGCGCATGAAGAAGAAATGTGCCAGTCCTGTGATCAGCAGGGCCCACTGGCACTTTTACCAGAGTTTCTGCTTTCCAGATTAACTTCCTAATAAGCAGCTACAAGAACAGCAATAATTTCCCCTTCCAGTACAAGTCACATCAACAGGCACTCCAGGTTTAGTCCAACAGAGCTGCTTAAAGTCTCAGATACCTTCCCTGCAATTATCCACAGCACACAACAAGAAGTTAAGTCTAATTCTCAGGAATCTGAGCATTATTGCATTCCTGTATCATAGGACTTTTATCTGGAGGGAGGACTAATTTTCCATGATAAAGCTGTAGTAGAGCTGACGCATGATTTGAGTGACTTGGTCTGCCTTTGGCTTTCTTCTGTCACAGCTGTGGGCTCTGGCTGGCTCTGGGGTTTGCCCAGTGGTCCTGTAGATGTGCAGGAGGGTGGTAAGAGCCCAGCGTAGCAGCTGCTGCAGTCCCTCAGTCGCTGCAGAGCAGGCCAAGCCCACTGCCTCCTACACATCCGCCACTGCTCACTCTGCCTGGGAGCTCTGCACCAGGATTTTACACACAAACCTCTTATTTCTCTACTCAGCACCCAGGGGATTCCTGAGTTAACTCCACTGGAATAGTCATGCTAGCCTGAAATAAACAGTTAAAATAGCTTTTTATTTTCTCTTTGGTTTCATAGTCTGTAAGGGGAAAAATGAGCCAATTACTGACTATCTTGGAAGAGTTACTCAGATTAGATGCTCAATTATCAAAATAGATGTTCTGCTTCTCCTTTGGCTGGAAATCCTAACGGAAACTGTTAACAAATTCTCCCCCATTATAAAGTTAGCAGACTCAGTGGACTTTACACTAAGAATAATGAATTCTGAATTACACACCTTCTACTACAGTTCCAAATATACACAATATTGCACAGAAAACTTAATAGGATCCCAAGATACTGGATCTGGATGACATATTTGAACTATGGCATTAGCAAATAGCCTCCTGCCAGAATCTCTGCAGGATGTTAGCTCTTTAGGAAGACTTAAAGATGCTGCTGCTTTCCCAAGTCTTGAGAGATGCTCATTACTCCTGTTGCTTCTCTCCCGATAAGTGCTGCCCAGATGGCCTTTTGGGAGCAGGGTTTCCCACTGAACACAATGCAGAGGCAAGCACCGTTGCTAATGTGGTTTGTAGTCAGGCACACTTCCTTTGTGACAGGAATGACTATAGTTAAGAAATGGTGTGGGAAACTCAGAAGTACACAAACTTCTTCCATAGCCTTATGTTAGTAAGTCATGCAGAAAGCTAAAAAGCTTGGGAGCAGAGACAGAGCAAAGCTTTGGAAATACAGCAGTGGGAAAGACAGCAAGAGGAGACTCAATTAGTGTTGAGTCCTACTGATCATCCTGAGGTGACAAACAGAATGGGTCCAACCCTACAGGCCTTACTTGGGTCCTCACTGAAACCAGCAGGAATTTAGGACTCCATGAGGAATGGAGCAGGCTGCTGGATTTGGCCTGCAGCTTTTGTACCTCCAGAGCTACCTCCTGACATCCTGTAAACTGGTCTAAACACAAATTCCCTCTATGCCTCCCATGGAGTTCATCAAAATCCTAACCAGCAAAAGCTGGGCCTGGATTTTCACCTGCCAAATACCAATACCAGAATCTGGGCTAGTGTTTCCCATTTATTTCATCCAAGCAACAGAGAATAGTTTAGAAGTATTAATGAAGACAAAGGCTTTTCCAGAGCATTCCTGGTATAAAATTAGTTTTCTTAAAGCCAAGCCCAGCTCATATAGAGTTAGGGAATAAATGCCCTCCTGTACCATTACAGGTGACGTGCCACAATGGTAGCCAACATATTTGGGCAGGTCAGCCTTAGATATAAAGAACAGCAAGACAGAGGTACTGAGCAACATGGGGTACGGGTGCTCTGACACCTGGAAGCAAAGTCTCTCGGTGTCTGTCAGTGCCTCTCCTCGTGGAAAGTTCTATCAAAACCCCAGCTATTCTGCTGGGGAAAGCTGAGCTGAGGCAATGCCTCACCTGCAGCAGAGCATCTGAAGCTGGCAGGAGGAAATCATCCTGTATTTAATCCCCATACAGCAAACAGCAATTCAGATTAACACACCCGGGCAATTAAGGATTGGAGAAGCTTCGGTATCTGTTTGCAACAGTTTGAATAAGCATACATCAGTTTGACTAATATCCAGGGTCTGTGTTTCCCAGGACAGACTAAACAAGCCTGGGGAATTAAAGAAGCAAACAGAGTATGTGGCTCAGAAGTCTTCATGTGGGCTGAAGCCACCTCTGCCACCTTCACTGGGACAGTTTTCTCTGGCCTTACTGGTGGATGAGCAGGATTCTGCTGCTGCAGTTCCATTCCCTGTCATTTTCTCCTAGCTCTTTCCTTGCTCGAGCCTGGTGCAATTGCTGTTTGCCAGCAGAGCTTCCTTCACGTCTTCCTTTTTATTCAGGGTCCATCTTCCCTTCATGCAGTTTTTATAATCTGATTTTTCGTTCTGTCACTCTTTTCCCTCTGTCTGTCACAGGCAGATGTGGCTGGAGGACAGCAGTGTCCCACAGCCCCACAAACTCTGTGAGTTTGGAGTTCCTTCCAGTTTCCCACACTGCTCTCCTATTCACTGCATTCAGGCAGAGGATAAAGGAAGTGTGCCATGCTACAAGCTGAATTAGAAATGGTGTTTGACTTCCCTTTGTACTTCACAGAAACCTTGCTCTGGGCAGACCATCTGCATAGCACTCACTGTGGGGAAAACCATTGATCAAGGCCTGTCAGCCCAGCTGGGGGAACTTGGGAAAGTAATTCCTTGTGCCACTTCAGTTCTTAGGGCTTAACATCTGGCTGGAGGGGGAGGCGACAGTTGATGGTTTAACAGTCTTGCTTCCTTTCAAGTTTGGGATGCTGTTTTGATCCCCTGATAAGCCTTTCTGAAATCCTGGCTTTAATAACATGGAAGGCATCCAGAAGACTAAGAATAATGCACTGGCTTTGCATTTTCAAAGTTCTTTACAAATACCAGCTAATGAATTCTCAGCAACCTCCTCTGTGAGATAACAATGTATTATTAGAAATGTTTCACAAAGGAAGAAAAATGAGGCAAACAGGGGAAACCCCAAATTTCAGTATTTCCAATAGCCTACTGGGTGCAGTGCTCCCATTGCGAGTGGCTGTTTGAGACATCTGGTTTACAATGATGCTCAGCACCCACTTTTCTTTTAATCAGCTTTGGCATCTCTGAAAAAAGCCAACTCCCCGGCTTGTGGCAGAATGTGGATTACCAGCCTGGACCACACTCGCAGCCAGGCACCACCTAGATAAGCAGATGCCAAAGTTCTTTGTACATAAGTTCAGCAGTGGGTTTTGAAAATGGTATTTAGTACAATTTAACCCCATGAAATGGCTGAAAAAGAAGATGCACTCAAATCCTTGGTCAGGAAATACATAATGATCTACTCAACAGAAAATAACTTGATCTCTGCAGAACGTAAACTGAGTTTTAACTTGTTTGTTCACGTTACTACCCAAACCTCAAGCTTAGCAGCTGTACTTAGTCCTTGTGCACATCTGTCTGTCAGCACCATCAAATTCTGATCAGCTGCCTCCCAGTGGTTATGGTTATTCTGGGATTGGAGCTCTGAAGAGGGGAGGATGCAGTGTGCCCTGAATTACATGAACTCTGAGTTTATGAGGGAATTTCAAGCCCAAGACTCTTGGCTTGAATCAAACCAGTGACTCAGAAATGAGGAAGGAACTATACTGGTCCAAGGTAGGGAACAATCAGATGAGGCTCAGGGGCAAGTCTGTTACTATTATCTCCCCTCTCCACCCCTGCCCTAGCTAGAGCTGAGAAGTTCAATATCTGACACACGCAGATAGGATCAATTGCTGCTCCTGTAAGGGAAGAGGTGATGGTGCTCCTGTCTGCCACAAACACCCCATTCCCATCTTGTCAATGACAGTGAGTGCCTCTTGGGGTCAGACCTCGGGAACCACACTCCCAATTCTCAACCTGCTATTCTCTCTGCAGGATGCCTTCTCCTTGCCAAAATGCTTGGCAGCACTAGCTGGTAAGTCTTGTGATTTTTATCATGAGACACACAATACTTGTGGCCTTCATTAAGACTTCACATCCAAGCCTCATGGTTCTATAAAGAAAATTAAAGGTATCGACCTGAACAAAGCCCGAATGCTCAATAATAAAAAAGTAAGTTAAAAAAACATCATTATAGAGCATGGTGTAGCTGAGTCCCCTGGTAAAAGCAGGAGAGAATATATTCTGTGGTTGGTTTATATAGGTTTCTGAAGGAGGAGGGTGGTAAACACATAACATGGTGGCTCCTGCAAAGCCTGCTCCCAGGGCAATGTGTTCCTTTGAGACATAATTGATTCCTGCCATCAGGCACCAGCCTGCTCTCCCCAAGGGTCAGCGCTTTCCCACATCCAACCCCATTATCCCACAGACCATGCCTTTTGTACAACACACTCCAGCTATTCATGTGCAAAGCAGCTGTAATCCCCAGACCTTTCAGAGTCAATATACCAGGAAATAATAAATCCCTCTTGTGCACTGCTGAATATGCTGAGAGGTGACTTGTGGGAATTTCAGCTGGGCAGAAAAATAATAAATTCTCCTTAATTTTTAATTATTTGTAATACTCACTGTAGGAAGACTGTGTCAGCAGTGCATGACTATTCCTGGATCACCCACACAAGCAGCTATAGAAATTGCTTTGGCCTCTAACAAATGCAGATCAAATTGTCTCATATGTTTCTTAATGATCAAAGTCCACTTGCCTTCACTTGGGCACCTGGGAATGGGAGTACATGGAGCATTCTGGATCTAAAGAAAACTAATTAAAAAAGGTTCAACCTGTGAAGAATGTACTTCACAGTAATAAAAGACCCCTTTCTGTCAGGGTTCTAGTGTCCAAAGGAGGCAAGACAATGCCACACTAATGACATTTAATGGAATATTTTATACAAAAGTCTAACAACAACATAACTCTTTCCCCTGAAAGAGGGAGATTGCACTGCACTTCCACTCTATTGCTTCATTTGCCTTGTGCGAGCAGGAGAAGCTAATCCTGAAGAGCAGATTTTGCAGGATAATTTCTTCATATATTTCCTCCCATGCCAAGCAATTTTTTGAAGTACGTATTGTGTAGAATGCAGTAGCGCTGAAACACCTGAGCAGAACATGGTGCACGTGTGGGCTGGGAGAAGGGGTTGTCATCTGGGACACCAAAGGAAGCAGTTGCTTGTAAACTGAAACTGCCAGAGGCTCTTTGGGGTTCACCTCAGGCAGCACCCTGCCTTTTCAAACCTTACCCAGAAACCTCCACAGAGCAAGTCATAAGAGTATGAGGAGGATGAAGGGATGTGGTAATACTGCTGGGATTTGTGGTGCTATATGTCAGGAATCTAAAACACTAGGACATGCCCACCCAGCAGCAGTATAGTGTGTGGCACAAGATGCAGAGCCAACAGCTTCACCAAGCAGTCAAAGATAGTTATTTCCACACAGATGTGTCAGCACTTAGAGCCTGATGGGTGTTCTCATTGCTACTATCTTCCTCAGAGGTGCTGCCACTAGCCTGTGACACCTGTGAAAGTGAGACCAGAGCTAGCTTGGTCCTAAAAAGCCTTCTATTTTACCTGTGCAAGTATCCCTTTAGAAATGCTAGAGCTGGTAATCCATGGGCTGGCCTGAGGAAGAGATAAAAGCCAACGGGAGATCAGACTGCATGCAGGACAAACCTGCTGGTCCTGCTCTCCAGGCAGCTGTGATGACAAGGGGTGTCCAAGTGAAAAAGCGTTACTGCCAGGCTCCCAGTAGATGGAGGGAAAAGAAAATCCTCTGCAGGACAGCAAGAGGAGACCATACTCTGAGTTTATAAGGCAGCCCAGTGCTGTCCCTTCTCCACTTTGCTCTCATGGATGCTGAGCAGTATCCCCACGAGGGCCACTTCAGCCCTGTCCCTACACCCACCACAGACTCAGCTCCTGATTCCAAAAGGTCTCTGAAAGAGATCAGCAGCACTGCTCCCACTTCCCAACAGAGCAAACTGAGGTGAGATGAAGCAAAAGGCAGCCCCCAGGCCAGCCAGTGCTGCTGCTGAGCTGGGTATTCCTGCCAGGCACCCCCTTGATGCACCTCTGAGAAGCCCCTTCCTGCACAGTAAAACACGTGCTTTTCAGTCTCGCTCGCTGCAAGAGCCATGTGAGTTCATCATGCCTTGACAGAAGCACAGGCTCCACAAAGGGGTTATTAGCACCAGGCTCTGTGGGTTTGAATTTCCCTGCCTTTCCCATACTTTTCTCCTATTGATAACATTCCTTGTTGGGACAATAGAAGTGTGCCTTGCAACTACTCATGACATTAGTGACGGTGCTTGAGCCTGAATAATTTAAAGGGAAAGAATCTAACTCCCAAAAGACCATCTGGCTATCAGTTATAATACAGCAATAAAGGTCAGGGCTGCTTCCCAGGAGTTGGGAAAAAGATGGGTTTTGACACTGAAGAGTCTTCAACCGCCTTGTTACATGCCTACCTGTCAGCTCCTAGCTTCTGCCACCATTGCTCCCTTACAAGGAAAGGGATAATGCAGGATGCCAACTTCTGGAAGGAAAGCCAGCCAAAGAATACAGGAGAAAGGGCTACACCTTATTATAGCTGGCAAAAGCTAGGGCATGGTCTCTGAGCTGTATCTTATTTTGTATCGTAATCCTTTGGCTGCTTCAAAGTGTTCATGAGATGTCTTGTCTCCTGGCTTTCCCACAACACAGGGAATAAAAGGGCTTCAAGGACAACATCTGCCCTCCACAAAGAGCTAAGCCCATTCAGGCCCATACAATGAAAACCACGATGCTGCCTGGTTCAGAGACACCTCCCTCCTTCCTGTCAACTGCCCATTAAACTCAGGCTTCACTTCAGGATTTCCAAGTAAGAAATTGGCTTTGGCTTTCTTACCTCACTGCACACTTCCCTCCACCATTTCCATTCCAAGAATCCCAGCCACGCTCCCGTGCACAAGCAGTGCACTGGGAAGAGATAAGCACACGTGTGCCTCAGGCACAACAGGCTAGACCCTTGGATGGCAGGATGCAGCACAGCTCATCTCAGGTAGGGTCTGGGCTACTTTTCGTGCTGCTTCAAGGGCTGTATCCAGGCAGGATTTGTCTCATAAGACAAAATAAGAACTTACTTGAAATGTCCACCTAAAATGTCATTCTTTTTCTTGCCTTTACCACAAAAGAAATAATGTTTCCTTAATTTTCATTGAAATTTTAATGTAAATGCAAGCACACAGTGCTATCCCCATTTTGCAGATAAGTTTACACAGGGAGGCAGCTATGGTCTCTGAGATCTCATGTTTGCTCTCTGAGATCTCAAAATGTGGCAGGTCCTGTCTGCAGTGGGACAGTGTCTGCAGTGTGATGCTCCTTGGTCAGATGGGAACAGAGCACATCAGAAATCTCAGGCACTAAATCCTATTCACGGCGCACCTCTGACTTCCAAAGGCCTAAGGCTTCTGGGTTGAATCTGATGCTGTTCTTTAGCTCATCTTAACCACCATTCTTGTAAATGTCTGTATGAAAGAGAGTAGAAAAGGGGAAAAAAGAGCTACAGGGGTGACAAGGCATGGGCCTGGTTCTGCTAGGAGATGTATGCTTTCCTTAGTGAAGGCAATGGGAACACTGGTGCAACAGGCCCGCAGACCCTGCTGTGTTAAGGGGAAGAGAGAAACAGAGGTTATCATTTCCATTTCCTTCCTATTCCCTATTTATTCACCCTGTCTATCCAACATCTCACCATCTTGACTGTCAGTTCTCCACAGCATTTAGAAGTGTTACGAAACAAGCCTATCATTTCACACTGGTAACACTTTGGCTCACCTATTAGAAGTGTAATACCTGTATGGGCCAACACAAATACACCCATATTCCGGCAAAGGGCACCTGGGACCCTGGCTGTGAGGTGTCCTCTCCAGAAAGAGCAGAGATGTCCTTGGAGTTGTTGATATTAACCCTAACAGTGCTCCCTTCTTCTTTTCCCGCCTTTCCCCAAAAGCGTGCCTCTTCCACACTGCGAATGTGACTGGCACATGCAGGGACTCAGGAATGCCATTGATCCCAGACAACCAGCTGGAGGGTCAGTGTTTTCCCAGATCCGGGGGCAGCCCTGAAGAGCCACGCTGCACACTCCACCAGTCAGCGTGGGCAGAAGGTTATTCTCTCCAGGGCATTTGCAATCAATGTACCATACACTAATAGATGCTTCCTCTATTGTTCAACTGTGTGCCTGGATTGGCTGCATGGCTGTGGGAAACACCAGTGATCCCGAGACTCACGTATCTGCTGAAGCTCCCTGATGTATAAATAGAGGCAGTTGATAGCTGCCAGAGCATAGCCTGAACACTCAGCACAGCAGCCTGACCAGGGAGTCTGTGCCCAGGACTCAGAGCACTAAGAATGGCTCCCAGTAACACTCTCATGGTCCACATGGAGGAGAAGCTGCTGCCAAAAGAAAAGAATAAAGTAAGTAGATCCCTTGACAGGATTGGAAAGGCTGCCCTGTGCTCTATGCAATGAGCTGCCTCTATCAAGTAAATACTACATGGGAAAATGTGAGATAGAGGGAAAAAGTGGTCTGGCGGAAGGCAAACAGGCTGAAGAGAGACAGAGGAGACTACACAGGTTTTTGTAAATGAAACTGAGTGGGGAACAGGCAGGCAGCACCACAAAGCTCTCCTACCAAAAGTGTCTTTGAACACATGTGAGGGGAAATAGGTCAGATCTCAGAAAATCCCTAACGCTCTGCTCCATCTCTGTCACAGCTGAGGAAGCCGGTGGTGGAGAAAATGCGTCGTGACCGGATTAACAGCAGCATCGAGCAGCTGAAACTGCTGCTGGAGAAGGAGTTCCAGAGACACCAGCCCAACTCCAAGCTGGAGAAAGCCGACATCCTGGAAGTGGCTGTCAGCTACCTGAAGCAGCAGAGCCAGCTGCAGGACCATGGTGAGTGCAGAGCACATCTTGCACACCCTTCCTGTGTAGCCCTGGCCCCTGAAGCAAGCAGGGGCTGTGGTAAAAAATCACCACTGTCCCATGTTTTGGTAGTAATATTAACCCTTTGCATTTGCTTCTTTCTTTCTTTTCTAGCATTCATGCACAAGAATCTAGAGCAGGACTTCAACAGTGGATACCTGCGGTGCCTCAAGGAAGCTATGCATTTTCTGTCCTACTATGAACCCAAGAAGGAAACTCAGGTGCAGCTGATCAAGCACTTCTGCAAAGCTCAGATGAGTGCAGATGTCATGTACTCTCCTGCTCCACACAGTTCACCTCTGTCACCCTGCCTGTTTGCCAGAAAGCAGCCTGCCCAGAAGACTGTGGCTGCTGCTCCTACCATCTGGAGACCCTGGCAGACCTGCTGAACTTTGCTTTATTCCTATGTTTTGCTACAAAAACTAGAGGGACCTGTGACTGAATAGTTCCTCTTTAAAGTAGGAAACATTGCTTTCCAAAGGTGGGAGGGGGGCAGTTATTGTTTTTCTGTCACAAGAAATGAGGGTCGCCAGGTAGTTTCCCTTCATAGTGAAGGACTGTGTGTGTATCTTGCAGCAAAGTTGCTGCTTTTATTGGTGGCTCTTAGCCAAAGACAGAACCACGTTCTGAGGTGATTTAGAGAGCCAAAGCTCTTCAGTTTCCATCACACTTTTGCTTGACAAGGCTGTCAGTGCAAATCTTTCTACTAATTCCCTGGGTCACTGGTTCAAGTGCTCCATTGTCTCCAGATGATGTACTGACCTTCCTAAAGAAGGAGCACTTTGAAGAATGTATTTTGTATCATAAAGAAAGTATTGAGCCTTTATCTTTTGAGTGAAAGCTGTTATTAAGAAATGCTGATTCCTCTGCAGTTCCTCTGCTATTTTTAGTCTATCTTCTTTCAGAGAGTTATAATGGTAACAGATAGCTCTAGGGAAAATTCTCCTCATGTCAGCATGTGCTGCTCTCAGCTGAAGAATACTTGATGCCTTTTGTAAAGGAAATACCTGTGATATACCTTGAGGAAAAGGGGGAGGAAGGGAGGCAGTGTTTTATAATCATTCACTGAACATGCTGAAGAGCTTAAAAAGCTTTTATAAAGTTGTGATGTATTCATCCTGTGTGATGTTCAACTTTGGTGTCTTTACTATACAATACAATAAAAAGGTTTTAGTCATTAATCCTTTGGTTTGAAGTTATTAAAATGGCTGGAATGAGTGTTGCGGGTAAACTCCTCTTGCAGTGGGGGAGCTATCAGGTCATGTCATATTTTTGAGCCCTTCACTCCACTACATAGATTATATTTGTGACATTTATTTGGCAGAACAGGATTTCAGACCCTGCCAAGAAGCAACCTCTGGAAAAGTTATTAACAATTAAAATGGAGGTGAAACTGAAGTGGGATACTGAGAGGTGTAGACCCAGATACTTCATAGCCATCTATTCAGACCTCAACAAATCACTAATTTCACAGCCACTTTATTTCTCCTCACTCCCCATTCATTTTTCTGCCAACCTGAGGTCAGCCGTATGCTTTCTGTCCATTTAGAGGGCAGCAACATGAAAAACTCCTAATAACTTCCAAAGAGTTTGGCACATAACTCTGGGGAATCTCACTCGTTTCTGTGAAACTAGTTTTTGTGAACTAGTTTTTGTTGCTTTTTAATTTAGCACCTTCTGTTACTGAAACATGAATTCTGTTAGGCAGGAACAGAATTTCTTTACTGATATGAAATATGACCATATATGGCTAAAAGTCTACACAATTTGATAACAGACAGATCGAAAAAGCATTTTCTCTCCTAAATTACTTCCCCATGCTCTTCTTTTTGTTGAACAATTTCTTCTTCTCTGTCATCCACCTAAGGGTCCAAAACATGCCCTGAATAGGGGCTGTGCCTCAGAGTTAAGAAGCCACCACACTCCACCACACTGTGAAGGTTGTTGCAGAGACATTCTCTCTGGCAAGCATCGTTTAAATGATCCTCCCTTGATTTTTTCACCCCATCTCAACTCAGAAAACAGATTTAGCATATCCTCTTATGTGGGGATTTACAGCACCAGCTGAGGAAGAGAAGTGTGAGAAGGGGATCTTAAAGCCACCTTAAATACCAACAGCCTTTCCAAAAGACAGCACTTTCCCCAAAAACGTTCACTCACTTTTCCTTAGAAGAGTTCCCATTCCTTGCTAAGCAAGTACTATTTACCTTTTATTTTTCCTTCTCTTCAAAGTAAAATAAATCAGCACAAATAATCAGTTCACAAAACTATTATCTAATCACAGTAACACATTGATTTTGATATCTGACCAACCTCTCATTCTTCTAGAGATACAGTAAGAGTGTGAAACACCACTGGTCAACTGTTTAAACTCTCAGATTCCCTGGGAAAGGTGCCCTGGAAAACCTTTGTTTCTACCATATGCTTTTTTTCCTTAAACAAAAGGAACCTGGCATATTTGATCTTATCAAATGGCTGCCTAACTAAGCACTAAGCAAACTCAGATCTGCTAAACTGGCAAGATCAAACGTCATTGAGACACTGCCAGGGGTACCTGGCCAGTCCTCACTTGATTTGTGATTAAACCCTCCGTTACACATATGGAAACAACCAAAAAGCCATCTAGCTGGGCCAGGAACATATTGCTCTACCTCGTCACAGTTGCATGGATCATTTTAATTATTATTTTACCTTGAATGCACAGGCTGGCTGACCGCTTTTCATCCGTTTACCAGTGCAATACAAGGTGGGGTTTTGGTATAGTTCTGCAATTCATCAGGGCTGATACTAATGCTGCAGATGAAGTTGTTCCTCCTAATGAACTACTAAATAATTCAGAGAAGATATTTTTAGGTTTTGTGGTTGCTTAGTGATCTTGCAAAAGTCACTTCACCTTGCTGTGCTCAACTTGTCTGTGCCAGTTAGTACAAGCTTCTGAATCCCAGCAGAACTCAAGCTGTGTGTTTTTAAATCAGGCCTAATCAAAGCACCTGCAGAGAGAAAGTTCGGTTTGGGGGAGTTCAGACTCAGGCAGAATGCAACGTTCCCCAGAGCACACCCCAACCTGATCGTGCACCACAGGAACTAGGAGTGGAGTCACACACGGCATAGAGAAGCATGGATGGGCATCCTCTGCGGCTAACATGTTGCCACCCAAGTAAACCCCGTTGTAACAGTTGGCAGCATCCCTGCAGTTTGTTTACAACTGACAGCATCAATGGAAAAGAGAAAGCAAACCAAAGAAGAGCTGCACAAACTGGAGATGACTGCTGCAGGTGAACCCAGTCCCTCTAGTTCTAGCCTAACACAGGCACATGCCGTAGAAATGATAACTGTGCAAAACTCATGTGAGATCAGTCAGGTTTCTAAGCCCAGAACTCCTGCCACCCATGTTGACATAAATCTGGAGACATGGCTCCTGTCACTCAAACCACAAACTCCGATTCTCATTTACACTGAGGCTATACTATATTGCTCTGACTGTAGCAGGGTGTAGCAGACAGTGCATAGTTGTCAGTGTACCTGAGGTTCAGACCTATCATTTGCAGAGTGGTGTAAGGGAGAGGAGAAGAAACCAAACCCCACCAGAAAGCCTCCCCTTGCTCCAGGGATGTGTAGCTGATGCAATTGCACTGCTTCTGGGTTTTGCCAGCCAAAGACTTGCCCTCTGGGCTTTAATGTAGCAATTACCTGAATGCTAAAAGCCAGACCTCTGGTTTCCCCAGTCCCAGCACAGCAAAGGTTATGTTTACAATTTATTAATTATTATCACTTATAATAATTGAAAGCAAAGCTTCTTATTGCTCCTCTGTCCCCTGGGGTGACTCTCCCCTGCTCCAACACATTCCCACCCTTAGGAAAGATGTTGTTTATTATGCTGATCCCACAGCCCAGGAATACTCTCCTGACAAAGCCCCTATTAACCTCAGAGTGTGGGCCTGAGTTTCTCAGAGTTTCCCACACTTTCTTCCCTATTTATGACATTCAAAGGGACAACAAAGGAAGCGTGCCTCACAACAGCCTACATTAGTGACGCTCTTTGGCTCTGCATTGTGATGACCAGCAATTCCTGTCCCGATAGACCATCTGGAGAGCTATTTTCCCAAGAAGCACATTGATCGATCAGTATTATGCCAGAGCCCTTTTAAAACTTGGGAATGTTATGCTCTTTGACACTAAATAGGTGTCTCGAGAGGGGTTGTCAGAAAGATTTTAAACCATTTAAGGAAGGCACACATAAAAATAAAAATTGTAATTACTTATTTAAAAACACCATCAAACAGCATTTGTGAGAGGATGATGTGAATGTAGGAACTGGTCTCATATAAGAATGCTCTAAAAGTGATATAAAATGCTTTAAGCCATCATGTTGTATGCTGTAAGTATAGCTATAGACGTACAGGAGCACCGCTTTTTCATCTGCATAACATAGACAATGAAACTGTGGGTTTCTGTACTCTCTTCTGTCAGTTCATCTTTCCCCAGACCTGTTGCTACATTGCAACATGCTGGGTTCCCTCGATGGAAAGCTAAGTAACAGATGGGTTAAGGAAGCTGTCAATTGGTATTACAAATAGTAGCATCTTCTGTGAAAAGTGTGTGTAGTAAGCTTACCCCTGGGCTGAGACATCACCTACAAACCAGAAGCAGAAAGCTCCATGGTCCAGTACCCACTCCCTATGCCAGCAGTCCTCTAGCTGTTCCAATTTATGGACTGTAATGAACACAAGCCTAGTAATGATAGTCTTGGCATGGGTTGGTTGGTTTGTTACCTTTCCTGGATCCTTTGTGGTTTTCTCTCAACTTAAAGCAAGCTATGGTGCACAGCTTGCACACCATAGCATGGGGTCAGATGGTGAGCATCTGCAGTTGGAGACAATCCTCAGGAAAAGGCAGGACTCCTCCCTGACAGCAAGTCTGCAAGTACAGCCACTGACAACTGTTTGCAGATTCCTGTTTCCCCTCTCTTCAACATCGACAGCAAGTGAGAGTGAAGACACATCCCGGTTTTCATGTGCGATTTTGAAGACTGCATCTTCATGAGGCAGCTCATGAGTGATGTGATTTACAAAGAAACAAGGCCACTGAGAAAGCAAGCCTCTTTGTCCACAGCAGAGATGTCATCTCTCAGGAGTGAGGCCAGATTTCCCACCATCCTCCAAAGAAGGGAATTATTGTGTCCCACCATTTAGTCAACACCACATGTTTGGCAATTTTGGGAATTTGTTTCTTTTAACCAGGACAACCCTTGCTTCTGAGCCTCAACAATCAGTCTTTTATTTCATTCCAGCTCTGCAGTGACAGCCAGAGAGTCACAAATTCCTCCCATGGAGATGATGCACAATGACAAGGATTTGGATCACAAATGTGGTTCAGCAGGACAGACAATTGTGCTAATAGCTAAATTTCTAAAAAAAGCCCAAATTGAGCAAACTAGTTACAGACTTTTAACAAAGAGCAATTGAAATGCCTACAGTACAGGACCTTTTCCTTACTGAAATCCTTGCAGAAAGTGCACTCTGCACTCAGTTCCATAAGGAATATACTCTAGGGACAGCCTAAGTCTAGACAATTTATTATCCTGATGCAACTGGAAAATATAATTGCTGTTAAGTGTTCAGGCCTTAATACTCAAACCAAACAGGGAAAGAGGGGGAAATATTTCTTTCTCTTTTATCCACCCACATTCTAACAGAGGGGAGGTGAAGCAAGCACAGGGGGACCTCAGGATTTGCTAACTGACAGAGAGGGGGAGAGAAGCTGGGAGCTGGTGAGCGCAGAGGGCTGTGGGATTTGTGCTGGCTGCCTGGTTCACCATTCACATCAGATGGTGCAAGGCCACAGTTTTGAGGATTTCCCACATTGCCCCATTCACAGTGTTAAACTGTCAACAAAAGAAGTGTGCCTCTCTGGGTCCTGAGAAGAAAGCTGGCGCCTGCTGCACCATCTGCCCAGCACTTTAAAGGAAGGGATAATGCTTTAATCAGTGGGAGTTGGTTTAGTCCTTTGGAGTCCAAGGACATTGTGCTGGGGATAGGATGGCATTATTTAAAACCACTCATTTCATATTTCCAGGGCTGAAAATTGGGTCAAAGCTTCCCTCCCATCTCACTGTGCCCACTGCTGCTGCTAACACACTCCTTCCCATACGGTGCGTGGCACGACCTGCTGTCCATTCCATCCCACGTGACCCCAGGGAGAGATTCACAAAACCCTGTTCTTGGCTTCATGCTCCAATAACAGCACAAGTACATGCAGCCAGGCCTGTAAGTAACACTGCTGATAACGAGCTGACAAAGTAACTCAGGAAACTGATTCTGAGTAGGACTCATACTCCCTGTTCAATTATAGGTTTTTGAACAACCCTTAACAATTAAAATTACTACAATTATAATTGTTTCGATGGATCCCTACATGCTTCATCTAAATGTAAAACATCTTTGGGCTGGGAAGGGAGGAGGGGAGAATGGCTGATCTATGAGAAGCACCACCATGAGAATCCTGGAAGTTTACAGGGGCTTTGTAAGCTTCAGGTTAACAACTAGTTACAGGATCATCCTTTGCAGGATCACATCCTTTTATGCCATAACCCTGTGCGTGCTGGAACACATTGCTGTCTGCGCACTCAAAGACACAGATTTTCAGAAAAATAAAATTATGCCCATGCATGATTCCCCTTAAACCTGTAAAGCTCCACCTAGAGCTGAAGCAGACATACCATATAGCACAGTTGGGAATCTGTCAATACAAGGCCTCACGTGCCTGAATGACAGATCTTACATGTGACTACCTTTGGATTGGATTGTGCTTGGGATATCTCAGAGAGGTGGCTTTAATCTTGGATCCTATCTGGTCCTTTCCAGTTCATTACCTATGTTCATGGCACATATACTGAGAAAACCTAAGATTGAACAGTCACAGAATATCGTAGGACCTGTATTTACATTCTGGCAAGTGGATAATATAAGCAAAGGCAAGAACTGACTTCCCCTGTAGCTCAGTTGTCTGCAAAGGGAAAATACATTTAGGTGCTTTACATGGAGATTCTGGAACAAGGGAGCAGCAAGGCATTTACAAAGTGGCATGAAATTAAATCGGATGTGTTTGGGAAAAGCATCATAATCATTACATGCCAAGGATGCTGTAGGAAAGCACAGATTACCCAAACGAAAGTAAGGAAGAGCTCTGATTATAACTTACAGAGGAACTTTCAGTATTTAAACAATGGAGAGGGAAATATCTCAAGCTAACTGCTTAGCACAAATTGTTTTAAGGGTTCTTCCCTCGATTTTAGCCTCTGGCTGCCCAAAAATTATCTGGTACTGTATTCATTGAAGCATGGTTTAATGTCACTGAAAGAGTTTAGTCCCTCTAATTCTACATTTTTTCCTTTTCAACCTCTCTTTCAGTCATGGGCAGAGAGCATTATCTTTTCCTAGGATCAGTCTCCTATGCTTAATTTCACCACAGCCTGGGAAAAAGCAGCACATTGAAATGTTGACGTTCCCAACACCAGGCAGAAGTTTGATTATAATGTGGGCGAACGCTTTCCCACGTCCCTACCCCAGCGCTGCAGTGCTGAGCCCCATTGTGTCACACAGTCCCCAGTCCACCTGCTCCTTTGGGAACAGGGTATTATCCCCAGGCAATTCACAGTCAATTTGCCATGCTGTAATAGACGCTTTCGCTATTGTCCTGGGGCACACATGGATTGGCTATCGACTGTGGGAAACTCAAAGTCGCTTAGGACCCATACATTTATATGCAGCTGCTGCGTATAAATAGAGCAACTCCCTCTCCCTTCTCCACTCCATAAGGAGCAAGCTCCTAGCTGAAATCAGCACTTGGGATAATGGCACCCTGTGCCTGGAAATCCCGGCGCCCAAAGAGAAGAATAGAGTAAGTATCTGCTGTCTGTGACCACAAGGGCAAAGAGCTGAGAAGGTCCAAACTCCTACGGCAGTGGTTATATAGAGATGGGAAGGAAAGGCTCACTGCTAACTGTCCTCTTCCAATTTTTTGTTACAGCTCAGGAAACCCATTGCAGAGAAAATGTGTCCTGATCAGAATAACAGCAGCATCTAGCAGCTGAAATGGCTCCTGGGGAAGGAGTTCCAGAGATACCAGCCCAACTCCAAGCTGGAGAAGCCAACAACCTGGAGATGCCTGTCAGCTACAGAAATAACAGCTGAGGTAAGTACATTATCCTGCAATCACACTTGCTGCCCTTACTTTTAGACAAAACTCCAGCTTGAGTCTCCCTGTGTAACACTTCTTTCCTCCTCTGCCCTTTCAGCTTTTGCAACATCTGCCAAAAGCCTACAGCAGGATATTTGCCAAGCGGATGCCTGCTACATGAGGAGGAGCTCTGCAATTCCTGAATCTCCATTCAGCAAACACCAAAACCTGGCTGAAGCTGATCTGCTGTTTCCAGAGGTCACAAAAGGTGCCTAAGGACTCTGGTGCTGCTTCTGCACCTGCCTCAACCCACTAGCTGCCTGCAAACCAAGCAGCACTGAAACCTTCCTGCAGCCTCGGGAGGCCTTGGTAGACCAAGACTACTTTTATGTGCTTCCTGGACACTTGCTCATATGCCAGAGGAGATCATGACTTGCTGTACAAGTCCCCTCACTCCTCTCATGAGTAGGAAGAACGATTTCCTTTAGCAGAGCATTACTATGCTCGGATGTCTGCTTCCCTTCTTCCAGGAGGACAGAAATGATCCCACCACGTGGACAGAGTTATTCTAAAAGAATGTGAGCTGTAATCCTCCTGTGAGGATGACGGAGTTGTTCAGAGAGGAACACTGGCTATTCTTAACCTTAGTGAGGTTGTACGTGTAGATCTGTTGAGAACACAGTAACTTCTAAGATGCTCAGGCTAGCTTTTTCAAAGTGTCTGGTCAGGAGGAGCCTCTTCCTCTGACCTACCTCACTTGAGACTCCCATATTCCTGGCTACTGCACTGCCTGGCTGTGGGGACCCAAGGTGGCTCAAGCAGAGCAGCAGGTCTAACTGGACACCTCTGAAAACCTAGCTTCCCTACAGGAGCCATAATGGGCTCTACAATATTTGTAGACTGTACTGAGCATGCTCTGGAAATGGTTAAGCCATAACTCAAACTATGTAGAGGAAATTCCTCAGGATGTCTTGCTTACAGAGTCAGAGTACTGCTTGTGAGATGCAGGATACGTGTGCCTTTTATAAAGGCAAAAGCTCAGTTTTATATCCTTGTAGGAAAGAAGGTTACGGCTGTGTTGTTGAGTTTACATTTATCAAAGTCTTTCATGAAAGGCAGGTGTACAAATTGTATTTACTCTGTGGTACCCTACTCCCAGGGGACAATGTGAATCATTACTGTCCTTGGAGGATGCTGTGACATATTATGTGTGAGCTGCACCAAGTGTATATAACCTGTGCCAGGAATTACCTTGGATTTCAGAAGCTGCAGAAACTTTTACCAGTACAAAAATAAATAAAAATCTAATAACAAATCCAGCAAGTTATTCTTTCTTAAGTAGTTCACATAGCTGATGTCCCCGGGGCCCCTGGGCTAAAGGCATGAGACAAAGATTTCAGTAATAGTTGGTATTTCATTGCCTCACCAGTTTCGTGCCCATTCAGAACCCCTGCAATGCTGCTTTTCACAGCCGTAGCAAACCTTTGCTGTCCCAGTGTGAGACAAAGCCAGAGGCGTGCCTCAGCAACAAGTTATTTGGAAATTCAGAGCCAAGAGACTTGCCAAGCAGGGGTCACCACGAGGGTGAGCTCAGAATTGATGCCGATTCCCAGATCTAAGTAGTTTTGATTAATAAAAGTTTGCTGAGGCACTTAACCATGGAATCCCAGACTGGTTTGGGCTGGAAGGGACCTTAAACCTCCTCCAGCTCCAACCCCTGCCACAGGCAGGCAGGGACCCCTTCCACTGGAGCAGCTTGCTCCAAGCCCCTGTGTCCAACCTGGCCTTGAGCACTGCCAGGGATGGGGCAGCCACAGCTTCTCTGGGCACCCTGTGCCAGCGCCTCAGCACCCTCACAGGGAAGAGCTTCTGCCTAAGAGCTCAGCTCAGTCTCCCCTCCTTAAGTGTAAAGCTATTCCCCTTATCCTGTCCCTAGACATATAAAAAGTACATCTCCAGGTTTCTTGTACCGCCTTTAGGCACTGAAAGCTACTGGCTCCAGAGCAGAGGTGCTCCAGCCCTTGCAGCAGCTCCGGGGCCTCCTCTGGCCTCACTCCATCAGCTCCAGGTCCCTCGTGTTGTGCTATGTTACAATTCGTGTTCCTATGGCGTGCATCAAGTCACAAACACACTGAAGCACAGGGGAATTCAACTCTACAGGTTTGCCCGGCGGGAAGACACGTACGGCTGCTCTGCAGGCAGGAGTCAGCGCGGCTCGGGCCTCGCTGTGCAGGGGTATGAGGAGGCCCCACCGGGTCTCGCAGGCCCTGAGCTGTCCGGTTGGTGTGACACTGTCCAAGCACCGGACGCTGGGTGTCCACGGGCGGTGCCGGTATTCTCCTGCCGCCCTTCTGGATCCGCTCTTCCCTTGCGAACATCCCGATCCCGCCTCCGCTCCCTGCGCCTCCCGGGCTCCCGCCGCTCAACGCTGAGGTAACGCCTCGCGCCGGGCGCACGGGGGAGGGGGCGGGGCCTCGGCGCGCTCCCCGCAAGCGCCTGCCGGCTCGCGCCTCATCCGCATAATCTATGCGGCGGTATCCTTATCATGCAAATGTATGCGCATACATTTGCATACCGATGAGGCCGGGCGAGGAGTGGGTCGCGTTCAAAATGGCGGAGCGGGGCGGGCGAGGTAGCGGCGGTCACGGCAGTTTGGACAAGAGCATCACCCTCCCGCCAGACGAAATCTTCCGCAACCTGGAGAACGCCAAGCGCTTTGCCATAGACATCGGTAACCGGGCCGGGAGCGGCGGGCAACGGCGGGGGGGCGATGGTTGAGGAACGGGCGGCGGCTCTCGCCCGCTGAGGGGACTCACCGGGCCGGGCGGCCCGCGGACGCGGGGCACGCTGGGAGATGGAGTCCCCTGAGGCTGACGGGCTGGTGTAGGTAGCGGCGGGAGAACTAGAGCTACCGGCTGGCAGCGCGGCGAGCGGGGGGCGCGGGGCACGACGGGACCGGGAGTCCCGGCGGGCGGTGGCGGTAAGGGGGAGGCGCGGAGCGGCACTACAAGGCCCAGCATGCCGGCCGGCGGCGGGGTAGAGGCAGCCGGGGCTGTCCTTGGCGGCCCCGGGGAGAGGCCGGGCCGGACGCCCTGAGGAAACAGCGTACTGTCCTGTCAGAAGGGTAACGGGGCCTGGAGCTGGCGGCTCGGTGCGGACCTCCTCGGCCGACCCTGGTAGCTGGCCGCGGCGAGCAGGGCCTGTCACCTGCTCCTCCGTGCTCCCGAAACACACCTTGAAGACGGAGCTGGCAAAGCAGGAGGGGAGTGGGTTGGGACTGTAACAGCCGTTGTCTGTACTTGCGCCCTCAGTCACCCCTTGAAACACCCCATGTCCTGTGCACAACCGGAGAACACAGTATTCCTGGTGTACAACAACCTGCACCAAGGAAGAGCTGGAATAATGCACATCCGAGTGACACTCGAGCACCGCAGCAGGGAGCTGGGCTGTGGTGGGGGCTGGCTGGGCACCCTGTGCTAAGCCTGTTAAGGAGTAGGGATTAGCATTCATTCTGTGGAGAGCAGCAAAGCCAGGTCAGATTCACACCTTTTGCTTCCATTTTATACGTACTAGGTTAGTAGAACTATTTACTAGGAAAACCAGGCAAGTGCTTTTCAGCTACAGTACACTGGTACTGCTGCCAGCCTCCATTAGTCCTCTGATTAATGTTGCTCTGGGGGGTGGAGACTTACTGTATAGTGAGAATATATGCACCATAATACACAGTCTTACATCACAAGTCCACCAGCTCCTTCAGAAGATACTTGTTTTGTGCCTGATAAAATAACAGCTGGATTTGGTCCTTTTTAGGGGTCAGAGTGGAATTAGAGTTGTGGGATTAGTTACAAAGCCTAGTTACATCTCTCAGCTGGTGTTGCAAAGGGATTTAAATGTTCAAAAACCAGGGGAGGAAGTGTAAAGCTGTGCTTTACATACCATTTACCTGGTGATAAATTACTGATGCACATGCGTCATTCTCAGTCTTGTACAGTGAGACATTCCAGCACAAGCTCCACAATTCCTTTAGAGGTTTGGAAGGAAGTTTTTTCCTCATAGGACAGAGCTACTAAATTCAGTTTTCTTAAAAACAAAGCTAAGAAAACCCTCACCTTCAAGCAACGAGCTAGAAAAGAGTTTAGATTTTGTTAACCAGAAACTTTAATGCATTGTCTAGTATGCTGATGTAAGGTCATGAAAGCTTTGCTGCTTTTGATGCTCTTAAGTGTCAGCAATCACAAAGTTGACCTCACTTAAATTTTGCTGGAGAAAGTCTCCATAATTCAAAAATTTGTGTTTATTTGAGCACTATGTAACAGCTGAGAGTACTGTTGCAGGCAAAGCTATAAGCACTATCTGATTGTTAACATGGTCATGCTGCATTTCTTGATGACGCTTGTTTATAAGGCAGAGCATTGGGCCACTGAATTTACTCATCATGTTATGTTGTTCTTTACTGGTGGGACTTCAATTTTAACCCAGTGGTTGGTCATAATTACTGCCTGTCTTGTACAAAGCACGTTCTGCAAGATGTGTGGTAAACTTGCTGAAAGGGGTGACATGCCAAAGACTTGGCAAGAGACAAGTAATGCACACAGACTTAAATTCAGCTACACATTAGGCCTGTAACAACAAGAGATACTGACCACCTGACTGCCTTGTGCTCCTGTTCCAAGAGCAGGCTTGCAAAGTTAGAACTGACCCTCTGTACAGATAAAGGTGGTTATGGTCTGCAGCCCAGGGTATTTTTAATGCAGAGTTAAAATTAAGGGATTCTCTCAAACAGAGAAAAAAGCAGAGCTTTTTTTCTATAGGAAGTACATTCAGAGTTAACCACGCCAAATCAGTTTCTGGACCAGGGTTCTTTGGCTCGCTGCATTTTGCATTTAGCTTAATTATATCTGGCATTAGCTGATGAGATCTTAAAAAACAAGAACCTGTAGATAAAGCAAACATACATAAATTATATCGTTTGCTCTGAGGTGAGACATTAATCATAATTTGTCATCTTATTGACAGGTGGCTCATTAACCAAATTGGCTTATTATTCAACTGTGCAGCACAAAGTGGCTAGAGTGAGATCCTTTGATCATTCTGGAAAGGTGAGAACTGTATCATTCATCAGTTGCATGGGGTTGAATCATGCAAGTGAAGGGCTGGCTTCTCACAGTAGAATACAAGGTTCATCTGAAACTCATCTAGTAACTTGTTCTGTATGAAGCTTTACCTAGAACTTTCTTATGGTTTAAGGATGGTCTTTTGTAATGTCTGTTATTCAGCTTAAGAAGAATTAATATCTGTTGAAACAGCTTGGGATGTTATGTTTTTAATAGCATTAACAGTTTTAAGACAAAGGAAGCACAGAAATTTATGTTCAGTAGTTCAGCATAACCTTGTTTCTCAAGGAAGGCTTCTGAATGATCTATAATAAACTCTTTTCTCTCTTAAAGGACATAGAAAATGAACCGTTGTATGAAATAACTGTTCAGGAGGAAATTACAGCTCGACTTCACTTCATTAAATTTGAAAACACTTACATTGAAACCTGCCTAGATTTCATCAAAGACCATCTTGTCAATACAGAGACAAAAGTCATCAAAGCTACAGGTGGTGGTGCCTATAAATTCAAAGATCTTATTGAGAAGAAATTGGGGTTAAAGTAAGTGGAACTATTTAAACTTAGTTATAGGAGTGTATGATTTCTCTGAGTTTTTAGAAGGCTAACTTGCCACTTTGCCCATCCACCCTCAGAAACCACCCACGCCACAAGATAATGCTATCATGAGCTGACCTAGCAGAGTTGCAGGCACAGAGCCAACAGGCAGGAGCACAGGGTTCAGAAGAAAGTAAAAACAAGAAAGCAAGGTCTTATCACAGCTTGTTTTCTAGAAACGATCCATTTTTAAATTAAATTAATCTATTCTGATAACAGTTTTTAGTTCTCACCTCTCAACTTTTGCAGCACTTCAGTGATAATATCCTGACTATCAGGAGCATGCTTTGGACGTACTTTTAGACTAATGGAGTAGAGATCCAAATGCACAAAACTCACAATGGTATATAAAACAGTAATATTGGAAATCAAGGAGTTAGTAATTTCATTAGTAACAAGAATTTTCACTGTGAATCCTT